TGAAAGTTTTTTCGGCGATATTTTTGATAATGGCTTTGATGACGGTGATGATTTTGATGGCGATGATGATGATGATGGGTGGCACATTAGATATTAGTTGTTTTTTTTTCAAATCGACTTTTTGAAAATCTTTTCAAAAAAAAGTATTTCGTTTTTTTTTATTAATAAAGTACTAGAATATAAAAAAAAAATCAAATTTTATATGAAAACGAACAAGAACCTAGGCTATTTAATGTTAAAATTTTGCGTAATTAACGAAAAACATCGTTCACAAACTTTTGTCCAGGTAGTGTAACAGATGTGTTGAGGTAATTTATTATCACCGTGGGCTTTCGCAGTCTTTTCAAGATCGAAACCATTATTTAGTAGCCAAACCAACCATCAGTATTGGCATTGGCCGTCTGCCCTCTTGGCCAACAAATATATGTAAAATAGTGTGACAGCTTTATATCAAAATTGAATGGTCACGGCCAAATGCCAGCACTAGACCCGAGCAGAATATATGTAACAATCAGTAGTTCTAACGGAAGGTTGCTCGAAACCTTAATCATTAACGAAAGAATATAATGACTCAAAATTTTTAATCTGGTCAATAGCATAAATTGATTAAAACGAGTAAATAAATACACTTTTTGCTGTTTCTTCTCTGCCCAACGTGTTTCATCTTCGTAATTTTCCTTGTTATATATTTTTTCCAAGTAAATAAAAACAAATATTTTGTTTAAACTAGCTCTCAAAACAATCGCGCTCTGTCCTATAACACTCACCCGTATATATTTCCCTTCTTCCAAATATGAATCTTTTGTTCATCAACGGGGGGGGGGTTAAAAATTTGCTTGTATGTACGAAGAATTCCTATTACTATGTTTTTATTTTTATTTTTTGTATAAAACAATTTATTTTTTAGATGAAGGAAGAGTTTAAGGCAAGGGGTCAGGCGTTCATTGAAAACATGCCAAAAGTATTATTGTTTGGGTATGGTACGGCTTTGAAGGAGAAGAGTTATTTGTTAATAACCAGAGATATATCTTTTTTGTATTGATGCCTTTCTTTTTATAAATATCTCATTGAAACCAAACGTGGAGTGGAATTGCCATGTCTCTAGGTATTGGTTATATAGATTCTTTATCATAACAAATGATTGGTACATAATCATCATTGATATTAAAGAATAATAAAGATAAAGAAAAGCAACACGGCCTTGAAGATCTGAGAGAAAGCTTGCTCTTGGACAATCTGGAACAATTCAACATGGAACAATTGATTATGGGAAGTTGACAGATGTTGAAGTGTACTACCTCAAATATCTGAACACTATATTCATTCTCACATTCATCGGTACATAAGGCTAACCTGATATTGAGACCCCCATGACACAATGATGCAACTAAATTCAGGAGGGAATGCTTGAGCCTGGACTGCGTTGTTATCAAGGAGATGTTAAAATATCTTGTTTGTCTGAAGTCTACCAAACTTGTTCAATCGCTTCACAAGTGGAAACCATTACATAGTTATGGGTGTGCAATTGCACAACACTTGCTTGTTTGTGGAAGGTAATATCTTTTTTTCCAACCCGAAGATAATTATTTGGTAAGAATAAAAAATTTTGTTTATTTTACATATAAGAAGCTATTTATAATCGAATTCATTATTGTTTTTTGTTATTTATTTATTTTATGATATATGCTACTAAAGTAGTGTTCCTAACCGAAAATCAAATTTTTTACGAATATTCGAAAATCAATTTATTCAAGGATATTCGAATATATATAATTTATTTCGTAATTATTATAATTATTATGGATACTCGTAATTATTATGGATACTCGTAATTATTTTGGATACTTGTAATTATTTTGGATACTCATAATTATTTTGGATACTCGTAATTATTTTGGATACTCATTTATTTTGGATACTCATAATTATTATGGATACTTGTAATTATTCTGGATACTCGTAATAATTTTGGATACTCGTAATTATTTTTGGATACTTACAAATGATTATCAATTGATAACAAATAGTACTAACTTTATTTATATTATCTAATAAAAATTTTTTAAAGATAATAAAAAAATAACTTATATTGCTACAACAATTTAAATATTTTTTCAGAAACGTTTTCATTTACTCTTATAGAAAACGTTTTCATTTACTCTCTCTCATAGAAAACGTTTTCTTTCTCATAGAAACGTTTTCATTTATAAAATAACTCTTTCTCATTCTTGAGTTTCTCAACTTTCAAATATGAATGGTTCAATTGATTTAACATTAGAAGATGAGCCAACTCAAGTTTATGAAGAATATTAAGGATATTCAACAACCGATTCTGAAATTTATTTGATCTTTTTTACAAGAATACATTTGTTGTATTCTTATTTGATCTTTTTTGTTTTCCTTTATAAGATGTCTGAAACTGCTCATTCGCCATATTTTATTTTATATCTTCTATCCGACAAATATTTAATTGTTTCTTTATAATACTCTTTAAAGGTTTCAAATGGTAATTATAATTAAGTAAAATGTTTTGTCTATTATTAACTAACAGTTATTATTTTCTTTTAAAGTGAATGGTTAATTTTGTTCTTTTATTGCTTTTAAATAAAATGCCTCCAAAAAAATAAAGCAACTTTATCTGATTCTCAAAAGCATGAATTTTGTTTCTCTTGAAAATTTTACTAATTTAAACAATATTCATGTTTTATAAATAAATTAAATAAATTAAAAATTTTTGATTTGTATCACGTGAGTCACGTACGACCAATAAAATGCTTTAATTCTCTAAATGCACACCCTCTTTAAATGCACGTTCTCACTCATTCCCAAGGGGGTGCACTTAGGGGGGTTTACTGTAGGTGTTAGACATAATAGAACTATTATTTGGTTGTCTATGCAAGTCGCCATTTGTTAACCCATTGTGACGGAAACTTCGAACACGAGAAGGGAGCTCTGGGGGGAAACCACATTTATTTCAATCAATAATAATAATAAAATTCGGATCCTTCTCTGCTCCACTCTGAATTATCCATCGCACCGTATCTTTCAATCAATGAAATCAAAAATACGATTATAATAATTTTAAGCAATTTTGAATTTTGTAAAAATAAAAACCCAAATATTATTAATAACTTCGTTTGGTGATTGCCGCCTTATTATTATATATATATATATAGAATTATGCAATTTTTATTGGTCAATTCAAAATTATATCAATTTTGATGTTGATCTTTTTTATGATACACTCTTTTCATCTTAAATAAGCTGTATCTATTGTTTCACTTTTATTGGTCCTTTTTTTTTTGCCCACAGACTCATTTTTAAAGTATTTCCATTCAACTATGAGGATCCCATCGTTCATTCAAAGATAATGATATAAGCTCTTTAATTATTGATATTCGTGAATATCAAGAACCACTAATTGATGAAATCATTAATGGTTTAAATAAACCTGAAAATGTCATAAAAAACATTCCTACCTTTTTGTTGTACGATGATGGATGATAGGGGATTACAATTATTTGATGAAATTACACACCTTGAAGAATATTATCTAGCTAATGCAAAAATCCAAGGAACGAGGCAGATTGTATTGTTGGTCACATTAATATTAAAGATAATGGTTTGGTCATTGGACTTGGGTCAGGTATGTTTGTTTCATTATTATCCAAAAATCATGTAATAAAAGATGCTTGTCAAATGATTTAGGTCACTACGAAGACCAAAATTCTTTGATTTATTAGAGGAAAAAATATAATCTACTACGCTATTGGTTCACTTGGGAAAACACGAGAACATTAAATTTATGGGGAAACTTATGAATATGGAATCAAATTTGTTAATGATTTAAACGATAACAATAACTGTGCCACTGGCAATTCTAATGACGACTCTGATGGTAATTCTAATGGTAATAGTGATGATAATTGTCTAAATCAATTTTACGGTTAGGTTCATTATTTGGAGATTCTGCTAAAGATGGAATGGACTTTATCAAAAAAGATTCAAAATCAATCTATGAATCCTGATGATTGGTATTGATAGAAAAATTAATTCTGATAAAATCAAAATTGCATATGATAACCTAAAGGTGTTACCAAAGAATTAATTATTAATGGATTAAATCATGTTAATATTATTGATTTTTGAGTATGATTCATTCTATAACGTGAGCATGAATCTCGCTATAAATCCAAGAGTGGAATGACATTGAAATATAATCGCCAAAAGAAGAAGAAAAAGAAATTATAATAAATTTGAAAGAAGACGAATTGATTCATGTTGAATATTCACATAAATATGATAAAAAAAAATTTTTGGAACAACTTTTTCATAGAGTAAGACTTTCTCATGTTGGAAGTTGGACGGATCCACAATCTCAATATAACCTCCGTTTGCTAAGTAAATTGTCATTTATTATAGTCATGGTGGTGATGATGGTTCGTCGCGAGAATCTATACCAACGTTAGATGAATGGAAAGAATTATGGAAATCATGAGACACAATAACAATGAGTATACTCTTTACCAGAAATGCTACTTGAAAAACATACCAACCTTAGAAACCCGCTCATATTTTTATTTAGGTCATGTTCCAGCATTTCTGGGTATTCATCTTTCCAAATATTACAGGAAAAAAATGCAGAGTCAAAAAATTTTTGAAAGATATCTTGATTCTGATACACATTTAATAACACCAGTTGAATGGCGAGGATTGGATAAAGTTACAGATTTTAAGAAGAGTAATATTCGAACATGAAGCTATGCATCTTGAGACAGTTCTTTATATGTTGATACAATCACCATCCACCTTACAGCCTAAAGGAGTTGTGATATCCAAATGGAAAGAAACGACCACTCAATACTATTACAATAGGTCATAATGACGATGGATATAAAGATGATGATGAGCAATATGATTCGAGTAAAGAATTTGGGTGGGATAACGAGTCATCTAGAAAAGAAGTTGGTATTGAATCTTTTAAAATTCATTCAAGGCCAGTGACTAATGGAGAATATCTCAAATTTATAAGGGCAACAGTTAACAAAGAATACTGGCATCATGGATTCCAATTGATCCATCATTATTTGATTATAAATTAATTGGCCAGTTATGCTGAGTCAAAGACAAGCATATAAAACACGCAGAATGGAAAGGGATGAGATTGCTATCAGAAGAAGAATTAAGCGCATTATACGCAATACATAAATCATCACCACCCATTAACATCAAACGTAAGATTTAACAGTTGACATCCAGTTGATGTGCCAAACAATATATTAGATGGAAACCAGCAATATCATCAAGAACATTGGCTAACAAACTGTCATTAAAAGGTATAAATGTCTCCTATGTGATAATTTTGCAACATTTGGCTGACCTTGGTTATAAAAAGCGTCCATTGGCAACACCAATGCTCACAGAAACACACAAGCAAAAGAGGGTAGAATGAGCCCAAAACACATTAACAATAATTGGAACCACACACTCTTTACTGATGAAACATCCTTCTGGTTGTTTCGGAATATTGTAGAGTATTTGTACAAAGGTGCATGATCAGTTCATCGTATTCCCAAAGATCAAACAAGAATTAATCCATGGGGTGGGTTTTGTGCTAAAGGCAAAACCAGTCTTTTTTGCTTCTGTGATAATATGACTGGCCCATTATATGTTGATATCATAAGAAATAACTTTCCTGAAGCTAATCAAATGCTTGATGGAAATTGGCGGCTCCAATAGGATAATGATCCTAAACACACAAGCTGTGTAGCCAAAGAATTTCTCCAAGCAAATGTTCCGTCTGTAATGGACTGGCCTTCCAATAGTCCTGATCTAAACCCCATAGAAAACATGTGGGCTATCATTAAGAGAAATGTGGAAATATGGCAACCAAAAAATATTGCGGAATTAGAGAGGTTTATAGTAGAAGAATGGGATAACATTCCACAAAATGTTATGATTAATTTAACTAGATCGATGAATGAACGTTGTCATACGACTAACAAAAATTCTGAATGTTTATTTGCTGATTTGAATTTTTCTAATGTTTCACCTTCATTTTCATCTCCATCAGCTATCAAATCTAGGAAACTTTTAATTCTGTTGATTCATTATCTTCTTCTAATGAGTTATCCACATAAATAAAATATAAACTTTGTCCTTGAATTTATCTATAAGGCATTATATATAATCACAATAAAATAATATTGTAATGAGAATAATATTAAAGCAAATTGGGGATATAACACCTACATGATGAAACTGTTATAATGCACTCTAATGAATAGACTACTAGCTTTGAATTTTGATGATGATCAGCTGCTATCAAAGCTTCTTTTGCATGATCTTCTTTATTGAATACAACATAATCACTAGACTTTATGTAGTAATTAAATTCTTATCATATTTTAAATATCATTCATAATTCCATTGTGAAATTAATGATTTATCAGTAGTGATTAGAAAATATTATAAAATCTTGGGTTTCATCATCATAGATATTGTATGTTGTGGATTGGTAAAATTCATCATTTTTATTATACATAAAATATATTTTATAATGGTTTAATGCTTTTCAGTTCCTTTTATGATAATTGGTTCATCAAGTTTGGTGAAAATAACTTTTGTATGTTCATAAGCTTCTTTGATGGAGATGTTTTGTTTATTTAGAATGATGATGTTTTGTTTTTTTTTATTTTTTTTTATTTGCCAAGTCGAAGACTACTAAAAACAACATTTTTTAGAGTATGATTTTTTAAAAAAAGATGCTAATGTGATAATTAATTACTTACTTCAACACCTGTGAAATTGCTTTTCATAATTGCATGATAATCATCAGAAAGAAGAATCTTTAGTATTAGGATATTTTAAAAGAGAAATTTTTTTTTCTTTTTCATCTTCATATTTAAAGCATTGCAAAATCTTTTTGTTAAGATCAACTTTCCATCTAACGATGGCTTTATCTTGATACTATAAGTTAGAATCAGGTTATACTTTATCTGATCGATGTTATGACCATGTTAAATCTGCAAACATCACTTGGTGTTTTTTTGATTGTCACATGACCTGATGCTTCATTATTTCAGGTCTGTCGTTTCTATAAGAACATTATTATCATTTTTTGTTTAAATACTCTGCCTCCATTATATCATTATTGCTCATTCCTCCTATAAGATCATTGTTACTATTTTTTGGTTTAAATGCATTGCTTCCATTATATGTTATTATCGCTCATTTTTTTAAAATTAAAAAAAATCAAAAAACCGACAAACTAGTACAGGCTTGGGAATCGTACACGTACACATGCACGTATCGTACACGTACGTACGAGCTTAAAATTTTTTTAGTACATTGTACGAACATATCATGTGATTTATGATAATTTTTATTGGTTGATCAAATGTAATATTAATATATACGTGTAACTTTGTCACAACGAACTATAATAATAATCAAACTCTTGTCATAACGGATTTTTAAAATTTTTTGCTTCGCATATCACATGTAAAAATATATAAAAATCCGCTGTGGCAAGATTAGTATTAGTATTTATTAATCTTGCCACAACGGATTTTAAATAAAATTTGTTTATGTGTACCGTTCATCCGCTGTGTCAAGGTTTGACTATTGTGGAATTAACTACGTATATGATTGAAGATATTTAATACTACTTTATTATTTTAAATTGATAATATAATTAACAAGAATGTAAAGATAATTTTTTTATTTTATTATAAATAAATAGAAAAAA